CTGGTTTTCATGTCAGAGTAATACTGGCCTCCTAGAGTGAGTTGGAACATGTTCCCTCCTCTTCTATTTTTGGGAAAATTTTGTGAAGGATTGGAAGGACTCCATCTCTGTCACCTTACCCTCCTATTAGTAAACATTTGTATAAGTAACCATTTGTGTTTGTTTGGGGTGTCTTTCCAGTGTTTCTTTCATGCAAATATAAGAAATACAAATATATGTTCTTATGATTGGATGGATGAAAAGAGAGAAGAAAGATGAAACAGTTATCCACAAGTCTTTCAGTGTAAGAAATCTTGGATTCTTACAGTCAAAACTACCCTTGCCAATTCTCCCCATTCCACCCTGTCAATTATCCCTAATATATATGTCAAAACCGTAACGCTTATTAAATTCAGTCTGCCTGTTCTCTTCCTGTACCCTGTGATTGGTCTTACTTTAAAGTGACAATTATGAACCTCAAGTGGGCCTTTAAATGGTAATCACACTACTTTGCCTAGTCCATTCAACTGTTCATCCTGACTATTTCACACTTCTTTTTCTAAACCTTTTTCCACAAATTCACTCTCTGGTCATAACCTTCTTCTCTACCTCCCTGAGAAAACTGAACCAAAAGAGAGAGCTTCCACATACCCTCACTGAACCAATGTATTTTCTCTCTGGTTAGTGTGTTGCTTCTTTATAGTCCTAACTCAGTAGCTAGAAGTTCTACCTCACGTTTCTCTACTAGAGTCCTGAAGAGAAGAAAGATAACTTTGGACTCATACTGAGTCTTTTCTGATCTCTAGAATCCCTGAGATGCTTATCAGAGAACATTGGTTCAGAATACTCTCAGGCATGCATTCTAAACAAGAAAGGAGCCTCTGCCCCAACCTCAGCTCTGGAACTAAACTGGTGTCTTTTGGGGCAATGGGATGGATGTGAAGACGGGTGAGTTGATGCTAACAAGAATTTTTTTTTTTTTTTGTGCTTTAAATATTTGTTTGGGGAAGGGGGTCACACACTTCTACTCAATTAAGAGAAACATTTATACAGTCCAGGTCTTTTATTTTCTTTACACCCATTATGCCATGAATTCATAGGGAATGGGCTCCAACAGTTCAGGCTCCTTTCCATTGGTTCTAACGAAGTGTGCTTCCCTGGGTGGAGCAGGCTGGCGCTTCAGTTGAACCCAAGTCCCTTTCTCTTTGGCTTCCTTCTTTTTCTGATCACTTTCCTTCACCCGTTTCAGGAAGCTGTCCCGGCTCTTAGAGTGCTTAACATGCTCGATACGCACATTAATTCTCTTGGCGAGAATCTTGCCCTTAACTTGTTTGTTTACAATGATGCCAACAGCATGCTGGGTAACATTGTAGACTCTCCCAGTTTTGCCATGGTAACATTTGTGGGGCATTCCTTTTGGAACAGCGCCCATTCCCTTGATATCTACAATATCACCTTTCTTGTAGATTTGCATGTATGTGGCCAAAGGAACAACTCCATGTTTTCTAAAAGGCCTAGAGAACATGTAGCGGGTGCCCCTCCTCTTTCCCTCTGTGTTGGTCATTTTGGCGTATTACGGGAAGATGGTGGTTCCAGCTGAAAAGCCTAACAAGATTTTAAGTGGCAGGAACAGAGCTCTCTCTTAGCCCCACAAGGCTTAGTAGAATCAATACTGGGCTTAACCAGTGTTTGTCTTGCATGTCTATGCCCTATGACATTCCTCTCTTATTTGTCTTGTCATGAATCTTTCTTTACTGGTTTTTACTTAATATTGATAAATTGGGATGCTAGGGATAGGTAGGGGGTGCAATGGGGAAAGCTGGTGCGTATAACTTAGACTGAAAAAATCCAGGAATTCTTACACTGACTTGTTGATAACTATTTCATACTTACTTTCCCCCTCATAGTTTCAAGATCTACTATCTCACATTTGTTCTTAATCAACTGCTTTCTTATTTCATTGAAAAAATGAATCAATTATAAAGGACTTCCACACACTCCCACTGTGCAACGATGCACCTACCAGCATCTAAGCCCAAATACTCTCTGTCTTACCCTTTGTTACCACAGGTGAACTCTGCGTGTTACTGAGGCCAACTCCTCCAACTGTTGACCAAATTCCATCTTGTTCACTCACATTTAGAACCTGCAGAGCCAGCGTTCATTACCCTTAAAAACTCTGCTTAGAAACAGTCCTGCACTCAGTGAGATCACATCCCGACTCTCTTTTACCATTAAACATTGCATGGTGGAGTGATTATGTGACCCTTGTTCCAGCAGAGATATTTAAGTGTTTCCCCAAACAAGTACATTTCCAAGACCCAATGATTCTCTGCATTTGGGCCCAAGGTAGGTACTCAGAGCATTTTGCAGAATGAATAACATTCACAGACACAACCCCAGATCCCAGGGTTCAACTCCAGCCAGAGAGTTTCTAACTCTCTCAGGAAAAGTTTTGCCTAGTGTTTGATTCATTATTGATGAATGCCCCCAATAAAGTACAACAAAGTATGTTGATTAGGCCTATTTCAAGAAGAAAGCTTATTATCCTTTTAAATCCAATAGGTTCCCCACACCTTATACCAGAGGAACTTTTTTCCACTCTCATAACAACTAAGCACTCTGCTGAGTGATACGCCCCTTTGGTTAAAAAAAGAAAAGATAAAATTGACCCTCTACTTACCCTAAGTTTCTTCAGCAAGAGTATAAAAAATATGATGCTGCCCATAAATAAAATTGAATTTCTAAAACGTTTTATATTCTATGTGAAATCATCTTTCAAAAATATATGGGAAAAAGATGCCACTCATGATTTAAGCTCCCAGATGTAATGAAAGGAGCTATTGAGCCTAATTCTTCTAGGATAAATTTAAGACATTAAAGCAGTATTTCTCATGAATTAGTGGCAACATTAGGTCATTGAAAAAACTTTTCCATGTGTCCCAGCCTCTGTCATCTGCCCTCTCTTTTTTTCACTTCTCTTTCAACCCAAAAAAATTCCCCCATGTCAATTTTCAGGCATATTTTCCAGATACCCTTAACCCCAATATTTATCTCTCATGACACCTGAAATTACAACTTTAACAATTTATTCTTTGCTTCAAACCATCCTCCCCCAGGCTGGACAACTTAAAAGTCCTACTTGAAAGAATACTGACTATGTAGAGGGAAAGAGAAAAGAAAGGTAAGGAAAAGATATAAGAAAGAAATTAAGCATATTAGCCTTTCAGTCTGTGTCAGGGCTGAGCCAGTGATACCAACATTCCTGGATCTCAAAGCTCCCACTCTGGCCTTACAACCTCCTCCAGCCCATTCTGCCGCCATGAGTAAAGAAGTCAGCTCCTGTCTTTGTATAGTGACAGATGGTAACTAGACTTATCATGGTGACGATTTTGAAATGTATAGAATATCGAATCACTATGTTGTACACCAGGAACTAACATAGTGTTATAGGTCAATTATATTTCAAGAACAAACAAACAAAAGAACTCATAGAAAAAGAGATCAGATTTATGGTTACCAGAGTCAGAGGATGGGGGAGGAGGAATTGAATGAAGGCAGTCAAAAGGTACAAACTTCATGTTATAAGATAAATAAGTATCAGACATGTGATGTACAATGTGATTAATATAATTAACACTGCTGTGTGTTATATATGAAAGTCATTAAAAGAGTAAATTCTAAGAGTTCTCATCACAAGAAAAAAAAGTTTTTTTCTTTTTCTTTTATTTTGTATCTTTAGGAGATGATGGATGTTTGCTAAACTTGTGATAATCTTTTCATAATGTATATAAGTCAAATAATTATGCTGTACACCTTAAACTTATACAGTGCCTTATGTCAATTATGTCTCAATAAAACTGGAATAAAAAAAGGTTAAAAGTTGGGACTTCCCTGGTGGTTCAGTGGTTAAGAGTCCACGCTTCCACTGCAGGGGACACGGGTTCGATCTCTGGACGTAGAACTAAGATCCCGCATGCCACACAGCACGGCCGGAAAAAAAAAAAAGGTTAAAACTTGAAAGGTCATCTACTTTACAAGGGGTTTCTTGACTGCAGCATCACCGCTGCCATCTCCAAGGCTGCAGTGGTCCGATCAAGTGGGCGAAGCTGCAGCATGGGAACAGAGAGGTTACTGCTAACTCCTTCTACAAAGGCAGAGTGGACTGTATATTCCACCTTCCCAAAGAGTAGGAGTATGTTCCTTCTGGAAGGGCACGATGACAAGTGTCAACAGATGTTTCCTTACTTGAGCCCTTCACTTTGCTTTAAGGATAACTACAAGCAAGGGTTCTTAGGAGGAATACAAACACACACAGCGCCAAGGCATTTTGGTCCTTCGTGCAACAGCTGTAGCCACTTCACTCTTCTTCTTCCCCTCATCAGATTTTCCCAGAACCCAATTTGTATCTGATGTTGGAAAATCTGCCAAGGCAGCAGAATTTAAAAGCCTAGGTGGTTTCCTACCCCCGTGATACTGTGAGTCAATGGTTGATGTTGTAATGTGGGCACAAAGGAGTTGATGTTGTGTCTCCTGGGGTCCTTGAATACTGGAGGAAGATTTTCAGAAATGCAGGCGGGGACATCCCTGGTGGTGCAGTGGTTAAGAATCTGCCTGCCAATACAGGGGACATGGGTTTGAGCCCTGGTCCAGGAAGATCCCACATGCCACAAAGCAACTAAGCCCGTGCGCCGCAACTACTGAGCCTGTGCTCTAGAGCTTGTGAGCCACAACTACTGAGCCTGTGCTCTAGAGCTTGTGAGCCACAACTACTGAGCCCGCGTGCCACAACTACTGACAGCCATGCGCCTACAGACTGTGCTCTGCAACAAGAGAAGCCACCGTAATGAGAAGCCCGCGCACGGCAACAAAGAGTAGCCCCTGCTTGCTGCAACTAGAGACAGCCCACGTGCAGCAACGAAGACCCAACGCAGCCAATAAATAAGTAAATAAATAAATAAAAAGTTCTTTAAAAAGAAAAATGCAGGCACATAAGCTTTTTTCTAGGCGCTTTATTCAAAATTCTTAGGGGCTGCATGGAGCCCCTGTGTTTGTCCTGTACGATAAATTGAAGAAAGCCATCTAGATGCTGTCTAACTAGAAATGGAAACCAAGGGAATCATGTAGAGTACTCATCATACTTACCATATGAACCACTGGCCTTTGACAAATTTCTGGTGCCTTTTTATCCAAGGCAGGTTATATTTGCAGGTTGCTAGGGAAAGCTCTAGAAACAAGAATCAATTATGATCACACCCAACCACTGGCTCTGATGCATCTACATACTGACTATTTCAGTTTAGGCAGGGAAAGAATAACTGTAATTTGGGGTCTAGATATAAGGCCGCTCAGCCAATTGGATTTAAAGATAATCTAATTGAAATACTATTCTGTAAGACCTCAAATTATGTTCAAGTATTTATCTCGACAAATTATGTTTTCCATTTGAACTTAAGTCCTACATACCATTTTGCACAATTGAATATTTTCAGTTATGCTCTACATTGGACATTCTGTTGTAGAAAAATAAATACACAGAACACACTTTAGAAAACATCTATTGAAAAGGAAAGCACAAGTTATAAAAGAAAAGCTACCTTACTTATCACCTCACACTGGTCAGAATGGCTATTCTCAAAAAGACAAGAAATAACAGGTGCTGGTGAGGATGTGGAAAAAATTGGTGCAGCCACTATGAAGAACAGTATGGAAAATTCCTTTAAAAACTAAAAGTAGAGCTACCTTATGATCCAGCAATCCCACTCCTAGGCATATATCCAGAAAAGATGAAAACCCTAATTCGAAAAGGTACATTCACCCCAATGTTTATAACAGCAGTATTTACAATAGCTAAGACATGCAACCTAAGTGTCCACCAACAGATGAATGGATAAAGAAGATGTGGTATATATATATATATATATATATATATATATAATGGAATATTACTCAACCATAGAAAAATGAAGTATTGCCATATGCAGCAACATGGATGGACTTAGAGAATATCATACTAAGTGAAGTAAGTCAGACAAAGACAAACATTACATGATATCACTTATATGTGGAATCTAAAAAATAGTACAAATGAATCTATATACGAAACAAAAACAGACTCACAGACATAGGAAACAAACTTATGGTTACCAAAGGGGAAAAGGAAAGAGGGATGAATTAGGAGTATGGTATTAACAGATACAAACTACTGTACATATACTAGATAAGCTACAAGGATTTACTGTATAACACAGAAAACTATATTCAATATCTTATAATAACCTATAATGGAAAATAATCTGAATATATATATATATATATATATATATATATATGAATCACTTTGCTGTACACCTGAAACTAACACAATATTGTAAATTAACTATACTTCAATAAATAAATAAAATATTATTAAATGCAAAAGGAGAAAAAGAATAAAGAAAAGAAACGCTACTTTACTTACCATTTTGCCTATAGTTGACCTTGGATGAGAGAACTCTTTCTTATTTCTCTCTTGGCTCTTCCAAATGAGAAAATATATGTGAGAGTATCCATTCAGGTGCCTGGCACATTGCCAGAAATAAATAAATACTCTTTTCCATTAAGCGTTATCTCCTCAGCTCACCGAACATTGCTATGGAACATAATAAAACCCAGAGTAAGTTACAAAAATAGCAACCTTTGGAACACTAACTAGAAATTATGAGTAGTAAACCATACGCAGATGACTTGAAATAATTGATGTTACTCCACCTAATGTCTATTTAGTAACTGGATCAGAGACTGCTTCTGGTCCCTTTATGTTCGTTCTCCCCTTGTTATATAGCAGTGGAACTCTGATGTTGAACTGGACACACTATGACTTGAAATAAAGACTACATGTTATAATCTCCCTTGCATTTAGGTGAGGCCATATTGCTAACTTCTGGCCAAAGTGATATTAGCAAAGGTGGTGCGTGCAACTTCCTGGAAGAGACCTATTCCAGCCCCTCCCCCTAAACACAACAAAACCCCAAGCCTCTCTTTCCCTGCTCTCTCAAGCCATTTTTGGACCAGCTGGAAAGCCTGCCCAGGTCTTTTTTCCCCCAGAAAGCTTCATTACGTATTCCGATACTCTCTTGATATGTGTATGCATCATCAGTTTTGATGTCCAAACCAAATTTTTGGGTGGAGGTCCATTTATGAGGGTATGTAAATACATAATGGAGCTTTCTGAGGATCTACTTTTTTGGGGGATATCTACATGTTTAGCAAGATCCCAGGAAGTTTCATAACCACTAAAACTTGGGAAGCACTACTCTGAAGTGTACAAATTATACAGAAGAGCAAAACAATAGTAAGCTAACATGGCACAGTCAAAAAGAAGAAAAAAGGAGCAAGAAAATCTTCTGGTCTCTCAATCTAGGTGTCAAATGTTTGCTGAGAAGTTAATATGAGCTGTCTTATAGGCCTCAGGAGATAACAGTGAACATAATAGAGAAAACTCCTGCCCTCACGGGGCTTACGCTTCATATGAGTGTGAAGACATTACAACGCAATTGAGAATTTTCAATGGAAGTATTGAGTGGGAAGGATGCTTGCCTCTGTCACTTGGTCAGAGACCTGCCTTTATTGTCCTCTCAACATAATAAAAATAACAAGAGTTATAGTCAACGTTTTTTGAGTATTTATCAATATAATATGCCAGGCAGTGTACTTGGCACTTCATATGTATTACCAAGCATTCTAATATAGGCATATACACCTGTATGTTTTTCCCTTTTGACGCATTTTGGTGTAATAAAAAAAAAGGCACTGCATCCAAATTCAGAATATTTGGACTTATTTCCTGATTTGACCATGTGCTTAACTTTCCTCACTTAACTTTCCTCACTCTCAATTTCATTAAATAGAAATATTGTCTATATACTGTCTTTCCAAAGTCATGGAGAAGACCAACTGACTTCTCACATGCTAAGCACTCAGGACAGCACTTAGCACATAGAAAAGACTTGACAAATACCAGTCATGATTACTGTGCCTAGTCAATCTTTTATTATTAAATAATAAAGGTAAGTAAAAAGACATTGCATTGTAAATTTGGCTTCATGGCATGGATTTCACGGAGTACTAAGTTTTTCTCCCCGTTAGTTTAAACTTTTCTTGAGTAGAAACCACAAAATATAACTTACACTCAAACAATCTTTATCTTATTTATTGTACCATTGATTATGAAGCTAAGATTGAGGACTTTATTGCCTCATGTTCCATTTTTTAAAAGCTGAGTTTATCACTCTTTTAGAGGCAGAAATCCAAATGTAGTTTTTTGCTACATAAGTATCTGTTAGTAAAAAATATGAAAGAGTATTTAATTTGCATAGCATCTTCCAGTTCTAGGCCAAAATATTTTAAACAAACCTCTTAGAATATCAGTCATTATTAGTTATTATTACCAGTGTATTTAGAACTACACCAGTATTTTTAAGCACCTTCAAAGAACCACGTTGCATAGATGTAGTAACATCATTTACTTAAGCATGCTGGGTTTTTCTAGTCCTTTATAAACAAGGTGAGATTATACATCTTATTCAAAGATATATACATCTTTGCATACATTAACAAGAATATATGTAGGATGAGTTCCTAAAGTAAATTTACATGGTCAAAAGTTACAGATAGTTTATTTTTACTTTTTAAATAAGCAATCACATTGCCTTCCCAAAAGATAATTTATACTCTCACCAGCAGTGGAAATGCTTTTCTAGCCAATACCTCTATTAACATTAATTTTTAAAACTGTCATTGGTTGAATGACAGTTGAATTATTTGTAAATTTTAACTATGTACGTTTGCCTCCATCCCCTAGAAACAAAAATAACTGACCTCTAAATACATTTACTTTTTAGCCTCTATATTTAATATGTATTAAGTTGTTTAAAGAAAATTTTTCCAATTAACTAAAGAAATAATTTTAATTATACAAAGTTTAATATGTCAGCCCTAGATTAGAGTTGGACGGATGTGGTTTTAAAGATCTATATTGTCATTGATGTGTTAGCATTCAAAAGATCCAGAAGATGGCAGTATAATGATATTTTCCCTAAATTTTAGAGAAAAATTTAAGCAGGAAAATCTGAAAATATAGATTCTTCCCATTTTTATTTTCTCTTTTCTTAAAATGATGCAAGATCACTAGATGTAAGGCACTAAGGAATGTGTAGAGGAGACCTCACACTTACAGGAAAGAGAAGTCATAATGGGTGGAATGCACAGCAGACAGGGAATTTGAGGACTCCCACTTCAAATTTCAGCCCTTTGGGCCAGGACACTCTAAATCTACACTTTCCTGTAGGTGAAATCATCTAGCAACACCCTCCCCTCAAGACTATTACGAAGACTAAATGAGATAAAATATATAAACCCGTGCAGCACTGAGAATGTAATGAGCATTTTGGTTTTAATTTTTAAAATCCTCCTCTGTTAGAGATATCTATTGAAATATGCATGGTTGAAATAATATGGCATCTTGGGGCTTCCCTGGTGGCGCAGTGGTTGAGAGTCCGCCTGCCGATGCAGGGGACTTGGGTTTGTGCCCCGGTCCGGGAAGATCCCACATGCAGCGGAGCGGCTGGGCCCGTGAGCCATGGCCGATGAGCCTGCGCGTGCGGAGCCTGTGCTCCGCAACGGGAGAGGCCACAATAGAGAGAGGACCGCATACCGCAAGAAATAAATAAATAAAATAAAATAAAATAAATAATATGGCATCTTAAATTTGCTTTTAAATGGTTTTTTAAAAAAGAAAAATGTTGAGATTAGAAAAGATTGACAAGTTATTGAAAATTTTTGGAGTTGCTATGATAAGATTAAGGGGATTCGTGATACTACTCTGTTTATATGTTTTAAAATTGCCATGTGTATACACCATGTGTGTATACCTCAGTCTGGCTGAGATTCAGAGACTGGGTTGCAGGGCGGCAGCAGCAGACGCAGAGAGGGCAGGTAGAACGCTACTGCAGTGGTGCAGTGGTCCACGTAGGAGGTGATGGTGGCTTAGACTGGACTAGTGGAAGTGGAGATCTTAGAGAAGTGGATGGACTCAGAATGCTGTGGAGATAAAATTGACAAGACTTCTTGGTGATTTGGGATGGAGGGAGGTGGAGGGAAGACACTGCCAGAAGTCCTGGGTTTGGGCATTATTATAATTAAGGGAGTGGGCTATGGAGGAGGGTTGCAAGTTTGGGAAAGGTTGTCTTTTGCCCATGATAAGTTTGAGATTTCTATCAGGCATGCTATGGAAATGTTAAGTAAACAACTGGATGGAGTTCACAACACAGGTCAGGACTAGAAATGTAGATTGTGGGGAGCGGGTGGCGGGGGGGACTTTGCAGGCAAAGTCATGTAGATAACACTCACAGTCAGGGGACTGAGTGATGTCACCAAAGGAATGAAGAAATAGAGAGGGAACCTCAGGATAGATGTGCAGAGACTGAGTGAAGGAGAAGCCAGCAGAGGATTGATCTCCCCGTCTGTATAATAGGACTGTCTTAGGGCTATTGGAAGGAGTATATAGGCTTTTTGTATGTAACACCCCTTGTGGCACATAGTAGGGCTTCAATAGCCATTATTCCTCTTTGCCCCATTCGTTTTTCACAGAGGGCCTCTCCTCCTATTTCCCTGGGGAAAGCAGAAAACAAAGGCCATCAGGTGACAATACCATCAACTTCCAGTTTCCCCCACAATTCAAACCTACCTGCAAGTCTATCATTCACTCCCTCTTCCTTCCAGTGTCCCAAGAAGACAAATTCCCTTTTCTTTTCAAAGTTCATTTTTCCCAGCTGCCAATTCTATCCCTCCTACCTCTTCTGGGACATTGTCCTACCAATTATGACATTCTGTCTTATACTTTCTATTCTTTCCCCTTTACAGATTCTTCCTCTCAGTAACTCTGTAAGCATGAGTTCATTCCATCTTAAAAAAAAAAAAGTCTTCCTTATTTCTTTTAGTGATCTTTCTCTAAAAAGTGCTGCTCAATTTTCATTGTGCGTATGAGATACAAATGAACTTATTTACAAAACAGAAATAGACCCACAGGCATAGAAAACAAACTTATGGTTACCAAAGGGGAAAGGGGGAGAGGGATAAATTAGGAGGTTGGGATTAACATATACATATACTACTATATATAAAACAGATAAATAACAAGGACCTAGTGCATAGCACAGGGAACTATACTCAATATTTTGTAATAACTTATAATGGAAAAGAATCTGAAAAGAATATATATATATATATCACTTTGCTGTACTTCAGAAACTAACACAACATTGTAAGTCAACTATATTTCAATTTAAAAAAATCAACTGACCATAAATGTAAAAACAAATTTATTGTGCATATGAAACATCAAGGGATATTGTTAGCATGCAGATTTCGATTCATTAGGTAGAAGGGCTGCAGAGTTCAGGTTCTGCTGAATGCTGATGCTGATACCGCTGGTCCACAGGCCACACTTCGAGTCGTGGTTCTCAACCTTGACTGTGTGTCGTTATCACCTAGAGAGCTTTAAAGAATGCCGATATCTGGGTGCCACTCCCAGAGATCTCTGTACCTTTGACACAGGCTGTAGGCTCAGCATCAGGATTTTTAAAAATCTCCCCTGATTCTAACATGCAGACAATGTTGAGAACTCCTGCTATCCAGAGGGTAGAATTATGAGGGACTTTCTACACCATGTATTTCTATATTGTTTGAACTTTTTGTCAAATATTATGTTACCTTGGACTTAAAAAAAAAAAAAAAAAGAATTAGAAGAAGAATGAGGATGGGACTTCCCTGGCGGTCCAGTGGTTAAGACTCCACATTTCCAGTGCTTCCACTGTAGAGGACATGGGTTGGGTCCCTGGTCAGGGAACTAAGATCCCACATGCCATGCAGCACAGTCAAAAAAAATAAAGAAGAAGAAGAAGAATGAGGAGGAGAAGGAAAAGGAAGGGAGAAGAGAAGAAAAAAAGGGGGGAGGGTGAGGAAGGAAAAATTTTCTTGATCCAGTAGGTACAGCACTTTCCTTTAAAATCAAATTTCTTGGAAGTGTCCACTTCTTCACTTTCCATTCACATCTCAACCCTCCCCAGTCTGGCTTCTGTGCCCTTTTCTCCCTAAAGCTGTACTGACAAAAACCACACAACGCAACGGGTCACGTCTCAGTTCTTACCTTACTAATCTTTGGCCAATGTTGCAAGAGGTCCCAGGAACCTAAAGCAATATCCCAGCACACACCATATCATTAATGATTTTTTTCTTCTTTCTTGTGGGCTACAAATGAGAATAGTAAATTATGAATGATTCCTCATTGTCATTAAGCAAGGAACAGGGCTGACACCTGGCAACAGATGAAATATGCATGCATGCAAAGCTCTTGTTAAAAAAGTCTCTCCACATCCAAAATTAATGTCCATCCTAAAGGAACTAAGAGTCAAAACATTTCTCCCTTTTTGGAGCAGACTCTCAAGAATTATAGCAAAGCTTCCCTGGGTCTGCTTTCTCACAAAGGGAGAGGGGGAGAAGTAGGTGTGTCCAAGACTGCTCAGACACTGAAAGAAGAAGAAACGGTTTTCACAAATAACTTGTGCCAGTTCAGGTCCTCCAGGAAGCAGACGCTAAGACAGAATTCAAGTTCGTGAAAAGTCTGTGACACAGAAAGGTAGGAGGGCGCAGAAGTGGGGAGAGCTCATACTGCAGGCAGGTCAGACAAGGCAAGAAAGAAGGGACGGGGGACTGGTGAGGGAGAGCATCGGACTACAGTGCAGCTCAGAGAAAGTCTCAGCCAGGCCAACAAGGAGCCCCAGAGCCAAGACTGCCTGGCAGGGTCCTCCCACGTTGGGAAGGACTGGCCCGGCTCCGGGACCCTCACCATGCTGAGTTCCTGACTCGGAACAGCCTGCCCAGAGTGCCGTCTCTGGACCACCGCAGTGGGTCCCTACAGAGGGCTCTTGGCCGGCAACTCTGCTCACAGCAGCATCCCCAGCAGCACACTCCCAGGCTGCCCAGGACTGCACTCAGCTGGTTATTATTGGAATAATTTTAATATGGTTTCAGCAGAATAAAGAGGCAACAGAATAATCCTTTGACAGTTCTATCTCTTCGTTTCTGAAACTTTCATCTCATTCCTTATCTTAAAAACACCAAAAGTAGGTCTAGTCTAAAAGTAAGGAAATTGGCCCTAATTTGCTAAGACAGTCTCTGCTGACTTCCTGAAACACCCCACCCAGAGCTTCCCCATCCAGTCCTCCTCTGTATATACATCACTGATCCTCTGCCTGTCCCTTAAATTCTGCCCTTCCTCAAGCTGCGCTTGTCACTCTGTCCACACTACCTGGGCTACTGCTGTGATGGAATGATATTTGAAGTATTAACTGATGCAGTTTTTTATTAATATTTCCTCCTCTCTTGCATGATCCCTTCACCCATCCAATTATGGGAAGTGTGAGAGATACTAAAGACATGCGGTATTCGAATCTCTCTTTGGGTTTTATTGCTCACCTGGGGCCTAGGGGTAGGGTTGGGGGTTTACCCAGAACTGGGGATAAGGGGCAGGGGCCCTCTGGACGATATGCACGTCTCAGTATCTTCATCTATTCTCCTTTCTCTCTGCTTCTGCGTCCCAGAGAAATTGATCTGGTCTGCGAGGCATAGAGATGCAGGGCTGTCAAATCAGGACCCGAACCAAAAAGTATAGTGCATTAATCACTAGTAAAGTTGTCTTCCATTAGTTGACAGAATGATACTACATATACAGGTGACACAGGACAATAGGAAGAAAGAATTGGGGCTTGAGCAAAAAATCAAGTCTTAGCCATGGAACAAAGAGAAAGAAGCACATTTTGAAAAATAAAAGGATGTCTTTTAGATTTAATCAGATACAAAACTTGCAGGCAAAATGAGAAGTGCTCGATACAGAAGCCTATAGGTAAAACAGCTCTAATCTTTTTTTTTTTTTTTAAATTTATTTTTGGCTGCATTGGGTCTTCATTGCTGTGCACAGGCTTTCTCTAGCTGCGGCGAGCGGGGGCTACTCTTCGTTGCGGTGCACGGGCTTCTTATTGCGGTGGCTTCTTTTGTGGAACATGGGCTCTAGGGCGTGCGGGCTTCAGTAGCTGTGGAGCACAGGCTTAGTTGCTCTGCGGCATGTGGGATCTTCCCCAACCAGGGCTCAAACCTGTGTCCCCTGCACTGGATTTTTTTTTTTTAACATCTTTATTGGAGTATAATTGCTTTACAATGTTGTGTTATTTTCTGCTGTAAAACAAAGTGAATCGGCTATACCTATAGCAGACAAATTCTTAACCACTGCATCACCAGGGAAGCCCAAAACAGCCCTAATCTTAAACAGCTAAAAGTTTCTACCTCATTATCATATTACACCAGCTTTTCAGTGCCAGATTTTCCAGCAGAAGAGGAATAATGAGTTTAATAAGAATGATAATGAGGAGAAATTATCTCAGCCTCGATTTCTGGCCCAGATGAAAATATCTTTCTCTGAGTACGGGAAGAACAGGTTTGCAGCCCAGTCTGGATCTGGGTTTTTCAGAATGTGGCCCCAGGATCTTCTGCCTCAGTGAGTTCCTGTTAAGAGGCTATTGCAGAGACCTACTCCAGACCTACTGAGTCAGAATCTCTGCAGGGAGCCCCAACAATATACAACTCTAACAACCACCCCGAGTGATTTTTACACACACTCTAATTATGAAACCTCTGCTTTAAAATATAAGAAAATTTGCGAAAAGGGTGTGAAGAATGTTAACACCTTGGATTAAAGAGACAGTCTATTTTATAGTCCCATTATAGAGTAATAGAAAACTTTATGGCTCTTGTGCAGTTTAGGGTCAGGAGCAGGCAATACCCAGACCAGATTACAATGGCAACCTTATATTATTTAAAAGCGCAGATACTCTAAAATCCTCTCTTCATTGCAGCGCCATTCAAAATCTTCTCTTCAGACAGTTGAAGCTGGAAAATGGGAGAGGGCTTGAGTCGGTGGCTCTTTCCTCTCTGTGGGACATGGAAAGAGTAGCTGCGATAGATGACAGGGCCTCGGTCCCTGCCATCTCCTGAAAAGACTTGCAAGTGCGCTGCACCTCAAAGCGGGCAGTGATGGAAATGCTAGAACTGGGTGGCAGCTCTGCGCAAAACCTCGGGGACGCGCTGCCAGAGGAGATTCGGGAGCCCCTGCTGCAAGATGCACAGTGGACTTTTGAATCAGTTGTGCAAGAGAATGTCAACATTCGTGGGCAAGCATGGCAGGAAGCTTCAGACAATTGCTTATGGATTCTGATATCAAAGTCCTTGAAAACCAGTTTGATGAAATCACAGTCCATGTAGCCACAAAACAGTAAGCAGTATCCCAGAAAGATCCTTCAATGTGTCATCAAAATCATAAAAGCAAAACAAGAAATTCTGAAGCAGTACTAACCTGTTGTACATCCATTGGACCTAAAATATGACCCTGATCCAGCCCCTCGTATGGAAAACTTGAAACGCAGAGAAGAAACAATAGCTAAGGAGATCAGTGAAGCTACGAAGTCCTTGCCTGCATTAATTGAACAAGGAGATGGATTTTTCCCAAGTTTTAAAGATGCAGCCTATTATCCAGCTCCAGAAAGTCCACCAAGAAGTCTTCTTCGGGTTGTTATAGGAAACCAGATGTTAAACCTGAGAGCTTTATAGCACAAGTAAAAACCACACCAGTGGAGACTTCTGCTAGGAAAACCACTGACTTGGTACTGAGAAGGAAGGGAACTAAAGACTGCCCCCAGAGAAAATGGTATCCGTTGAGGCCAAAGAGAATCAGTCTTGATACATAAGCTCTTTCTGTTTATCTTGGGAGTTGAAATTAGGCACTATCAACATTTACATTACAGCTTAATGCCTAGACAGGACTTCAATTAAAACAACAGATAACTAGTGATTCCTTTATACAAATATAGTAGCTCTATGCTGGGGTATGATGTAATATTGTGTTTCTTCCCTCACCTTTTCATCTATAGTCAATGAAAAGCATATATTTTTTAATATTTACACAAAGTCTGTCAATGGTCATTAAGAGTGCAAACTTTTACTGTCCTTAAATACCATCAACACTTGGCTGCCTTACAGGCTGTTGTTTTTTAAAATAAATTTATTTATTTATTTTTACATCTTTATTGGAGTATAATTGCTTTACAATGGTGTGTTAGTTTCTGCTTCATAACAAAGTGAATCAGTTATACATATACATATGTTCCCATATCTCTTCCCTCCTGCGTCTCCCTCCCTCCCACCCACCCTCCCTATCCCACCCCTCTAGGTGGTCACAAAGCACCGAGCTGACCTCCCTGTGCTATGTGGCTGCTTCCCACTAGCTATCTATTTTACATTTGGTAGTGTATATATGTCCATGCCACTCTCTCACTTCGTCACAGCTTACCCTTCCCCCTCCCCATATCCTCAAGTCCATTCTCTAGTAGGTCTGTGTCTTTATTTATTTATTTTTGGCTGGGTTGGGCCTTTGTTGCTGCACGCGGGCTTTCTCTAGTTGCAGCGAGCAGGGGCTACTCTTCGTTGTGGGGCGCGGGCTTCTCACTGCGGTGGCTTCTCTTGCTGCGGAGCATGGGCTCTAGGCGCGCAGGCTTCAGTAGTTGTGGCTCACCGGCTCTAGAGCAGAGGCTCAGTAGTTGTGGCGCACAGGCTTAGTTGCTCCGTGGCATGTGGGATATTCAGAGACCAGGGCATGAACCCCTGTTCCCTGCATTGGCAGGAGGATTCTTAACCACTGCACCACCAGGGAAGCCCCAGACTTTCTTAAGACATCTGGAAAATCAATATTTCATCCCGTTTATACTGCCTGCCCCTAACACTATGTTTGACTTTGCCACATCAACCCTGGTACAGACACAAAAATGTAATAGAGTACTGCCTGTAAATTCATAAACAGAAAAAATACATGAAAATGTTATTAGTGAGTTAGAGGACTATATTACTAGCTACTCTAAGTTATGAAATTACAGATTACGTTTTTTTTTTTTTGGCCACACTGCACAGCATGTGGTACCTTAGTTCCCCAGATGGAACCCGCACCCCCTGCATTGGAAGTGCGAAGTCTTAACCACTGGACCACCAGGGTTAAGGGTTACTTTTATGTTCCTTTCTTCTTTGTCTATTCCTGCATTTTCAAAATCATGTATAATGAGCTTATAGTTTTACAATAGGGAGGAAACACACAGATTTACAGGATCTCACAGCTATAGTAGGATTCTCATTCTGTTTCCATGTCTTCTCAGTTCTGAGTCCAATGACTCACACATAATAGATGCTCGATAAATAAATATGAGAGAAGGAAGAAAGTAAACAAGAGGAAAAATGGAAGAATGGAATGGAAAGAAGAATCTGTTGGTTACCCTCTGTTTGCCCCTCTGGATCCATTCTCCATCCTACTCTGAACCCTAAAAGGCTGACCTACATGAACAGCCTAGATGGCCTCCTTGTTCTCTGTTTTCTGGTTGGGTTTGGTCAAGGGGGTGTACTGGCAGATCAGAGGTAAGGAACAGATATTTAACAGTAAGTCTCCTACATAACAAACCTTCAAGTTGAGAACTTTCAAAGATGCGAACGTAGGACTTCCCTGGTGGCACAGTGGTTAAGAATCCGCTTGCCAATGCAGGGGACATGGGTTTGATCCCTGGTATGGGAAGATCCCACGTGCCAAGGAGCAACTAAGCCCGTGCACCACAACTACTGAGCCCGCGAACCACAACTGCTGAAGCCCACGCACTTGTGCTGCAACTACTGAAGCCTGTGCTCCTAGAGCCCATGCTCTGCCACAAGAGAAGCCACCGCAATTAGAAGCCCGCACACCGCACACCGCCTTGAAGAGTAGCCCCCATTTGCCGCAGCTAGAGAAAGCCAGAGAGCAGCAACAAAGACCCAACACAGCCAAAAAATAAATAAATAATTTAAAAAACAAAACAAAAATCAAAGATGCGAACATGCATCTGGTTCCAGCAAGACTGTGCCATCAACAACTGGCGTGAGTGAAATGGCAGCTTGCCCTCCGTCTCCTAATGCTGACGATCCTTCAGCTCTACCATCTCCCACCTCCTCTCCCTCCTCCAGTCAGTAACTCTTCTTGCCTGTTCACTCGATGCCAGTCCCTTATGCCAGCTGTTGTACTGTACCACTGAACTTTTCATGGTACAGTACTATAAGATTAAAAATGTTTTATTTTTTGTGTTTGTTTTTTACATATTATTTGTGTGAAAAGTATTATAAACCAATTACGGTACAGTACTATATAGCAGATTGTGTTTGTTGGGTACCTAGGCTAACTTTGTTGGACTTACGAACATGCTCTCGGAACAGAACTCATTCATATGTAGGGGACTTACTGTATTCCCTGGGATACCTCCCTGTGGGTCACTGCAACCACCCAGACCCAAGGCCCTTCCCACACAGCTCTTCTGATCAGGGAAAGCACTCCCCGCCACCTTCCCTTGAGACCTTGGAGTAGTAATGTGCCTTGCTTTTACTAGATCCAGGGTACTGCACTCTCCTTTGTACTGTTTTTACATATTGCCTAGCCCTTTATAAATAGTCTGTTTATTAAACTCTCCTCAAATTGTCTAATTTGAATGTACCATATATATATTATTAACCCCAGGCTGATACAGAATCTAGTGGTGACAGTAACCCAACAAGTTCTGTCCTCCAGGAACTAATCTTGAAGAAGGATATAGAGAAAAGTTTTTAAAAACAGCACTACTATTGCTCATTTCAAAAGTTTAAACAACAAAAAGGTTATTTTTGTGAAAAACTTCACTTTTACACCAAAGATTTTGTAGTTTTGAACTTATGCTTTTATTATTATGCTTTTTTGCCTGCCAGAAGATAAAAATTCATATGCATAGTCCTCTATTTCTTTCTTCACCCTTACAGTAAACTTGAGAGAGATTGAACACCTTCTAAATACTCAATATTGATTATTTAATACATGCACAAACGAAGGATACCTATTGTCATATGAAAATGTTTAATTAAACATTTTTAAGAGATTAATTATTCCTTTTCAAAGATCATTTCTCATCTTTTTGTTAATAGGATTTTTTTGTGTCTTTGAAGACAATTTTTGATTTTTTTTTACCCAGAAAAGATGTGGGGATATTTTAGTACTCAAAACTAATGTTAATTTTATAAAAGTTACAGATTCAAAAAGCAGGGCTCTTTATTCAACTTACAAATCCTATTATTTTATTTCTAAATCTAGTGAATTTTAACATCTTCCTTTAAAGTAGCCCTTTAGATGTTGCAAGAATAAAATTAAGATAATATCCATGAAGTCTTTGGAGACCCTTGTAACAGAGATTTTAGATAAATGTTTCATTCTACTGAGAAGCTAAAGCAATCTGCTAAAACCCCACAAAATTTATTTTTTAATTGCAGAAATTTGGAAGCTATTTGGTTTCTGTTATAATTATAATACTTAGATTAAACACACAAAAGTCAAATTAAAGTTAAACTTATTTGCTAAGAATAAATAAGTAAATAAAGTGGTCTTTTATTAATATTTGGTGTCACTCACAAACTTAATTAAACCTCACTTAAATATTTTAAATTTAATATTCCTTCTACTTACTGCTTCTAGCTAGCAGAACTTAACCAAATGTTTAGAACAATAATGTATCTAATAAATTACAGTTGAGAATTATGTGAATCTTCAGTTCTCTTAAACATTTCAATGCTTTTTACAAACTTTGTAAACCTATCTTAATCTTTTCAACTTAAAAAAATCAGAACTCTAAAATTAAAAATTCGATTACACATTTTAAGTTAGAGTCATGAGGCTAATATATCAGATCCTCTAATTAGCCAAATTATCTTAACCACTACAAACATTTAAAATATGAAACATACACAGATCATTCCCAAAGTTAAGGCAAAATAATTAATTTCCTTGGTTGTTAGCTCATTATTTCTATATGTAAGGGTCAATTGAGTTTTATCATCCGAGCAATTTGGGGCTATTATCACAAGCAAGTTGATTTAAACATTCCAAACAAACAAGGTTACCTGCTTAGCGGCTGATATCAAACCAAAAATTTTTGACCAAAACACCTCTAGAGCAGCCAACATCTAGGGCAGTTTTTCTTGCAACACTGATGCAACTTGCGCCCTATTTTATGGTCACTTTGCAACTAAAGGCATCATCCCCACTCTTTTCCAAGTGAAATTGTCTTACAGCCCCCATTCCCTGGATTCAGGTTATATATTACCTAATACTCAAGGTTGTATTCAATTCTTTTATTTACTGCTTGATTCTATTCTTTACTCTTTTCGTATTTTTCCTTTTTTTTAGGGACACAATTCTTATATTTTTATGATATCCAATTAGGCTGTGCATATCTTGCTATCTGTGTCATGCTAATGATAGTACTCTTTTACCATCACTGCCACTCTTCTTCAGGTTACTATATATATGATAGGAAAGGCCTGGGCAAAGGATACATTTCATAGGTCTCCAGAGTAAGGACTTTAATGCTTCCCTACCCTCTTGGGCCCTGCTCTTGGGTCATATGCCTTAGCCTGAGAAGGACCAGTCAGAAATGACTTGGGTTGAGTGGGTCTGGGCTGGGAAGGCCTAGATTGGGAGGATTGGGGCTGGCATGGCTTGGGCTGAGTGGGTTTGGATGGAGAAGGTTTAGCTTGGGAGGTCTAGGGCTGAGAAGGCTTAGATTGGGAGGACTGAGACTTGGAGGGCTGGTGCTGAGTGGATTTGTCTGAATGAGTTTGGGTTGAGAGAACACAGGTTGAGAGGGTTGTGCTGGGACTGCTTGGCCGGGCACGACTTGGGCTGATTGGATTTGAACTGAGAGCTGAGCAAAAATTTGCTGTTGGACATAGGTTTGAATCCCATTTGGAAAGATGGATTTGAAGGCCCACCTTGTGTCTTCAGCTTAGCTCCTTGCTGAGAGGCAGTCCTTATGGGTTTTTGTATGGCTCCTGCTGCTTGAAATGCTTGATGGTGAGGATTTTCAATATGGGATTTTGTTCTCATGAATTTTCTAATTGCCTCATTTGGCCGTGTTCCCCAGGCACAGACTTGCCTAGGCTGTGACTTCCCAACCGCTCTTGCTGGCTGTGAACCCGGGGAACGGAGGTGACCTCCCTGGGAGTCCACTTCCCCAGATCTTTCAAGGGCTCCCATTTTCTGTGGTCTCTCAGACCAGGCCTGTACATGCTGAGAAATGGGTCTTGGTGGTCTCCCAAAAGTTTTATCCATGTGACGTCCCTGAGCAGTTCTTGAAAATTTCATAAATCTTTCGCCTGAATAAAATCTCTGAGGTTGGAATTATTGAATCCCAAAACTTTACCCGGATTATGGACCCTTGTATTCTGAAAGGGTGAAGGATGGAAACTCTGAGACCTCTGCTCTAACCAAAACTGGGAGACCATAACCCAGGGGGCTGTCAAAGAAACACGGTTAAAATTACCTCCATTTCTGGTTGGTAAAGGACAGCAGTTTTTCAGAAGAGGCATGAATACTGGGGTGAGATGGAAATTCTGAAGATTTGGGCTGATCTCACATCTAGCCTCAGCCTCTCTTACTGACATCTAAGCGGGGCTTTCAGATGAGTTTTTTGGCTGACTGTGTCTTTGTGGTCCCTCATCTTCAGCTGTTCCAGCCAAGTTTTCAGTAGGGGAAACTTGAATCCCCTGCATGTTCTCAAATTCGTGGTCTATCTGTATCCCCAACTCCCTGGCCAGGGGTGCAATGTCCTCCACAGACATACATCTGAGTGAAGAGGACATCACTTCTTTCAGGGCAGCTTGAACACCCTCCATGTTCCTCCCTGTCTCTCCAGCTTCCTCCTCCTCCCAAAACAGCAGCTGTGATGGCTTCAACTTCAGGATCCTCTGGGAAATCTGAGCCTCCTCATTCCCCCTGGCCTGTGGACTGAGGACAAAGTAGCATCTTTCAGTGGCAGCTTCTCCTAAAAACATTAGCAAGCCCCATTCCTTCTCACCTAGGCAGTCAATGAAAAAAATCACAGCTGAGAAAACTTCCATCAAGAAACCAAACTGTGTCCAAAAACTTTCTAGATCCCCACGAAGGTTGGCCACAGCAACAGCTTTCTGGAAAAAAACTGGGGTTTTCCTTTAGACCATCACTATCAGGAAAACTGCATGTTACCTCAACCAGGCCATCAGAGATCTGCTGGGGAAGCACCAGAACAGGCAAATCCTGATGGAGAAAGATTTTGTGTGATTTCAGGTGGGCAGGGCTGAGCAGTGTGTTGAGGATTCTGGACTTGGAGAAGCTACAGTATCCTAGACGCACAAAAGAGATGACAGGCATCTTCATGAGAGTCAGAAATTTTCTGTATCCCCTGTAGGCCTTCCTGAAGACTGCGTTGACTGCTCCTTCACAATGTCCTTAATGGCCCCCAGCATTAAAATGCTTTTGTTCTTTTCTGCATCTGGCAGTAGCAGGGAAGGGCAAACTGGCACTGATACGTGTTTGACATGACTTCACGTTGCAAAGAGCTATCTGAATACAGCATAGAGGCACAAAGGACATGAAGGGGATTGTTCTTTTTTTTTTTTTTTCCGTTACGCGGGCCTCTCACTGTTGTGGCCTCTCCCGTTGCAGAGCACAGGCTCCGGACACACAGGCTCAGTGGCCATGGCTCACGGGCCCAGCCGCTCCGCGGCATGTGGGATCTTCCCGGACCGGGGCACGAACCCATGTCCCCTAAATCGGCAGGCGGACTCTCAACCACCGCACCACCAGGGAAGCCCGGTGAAGGGGATTAATGGTTTCTGTTTCTCTAATTTCCAAATTCTCTACTCCAGTCAAAAATTCCCTTTTGCTGGGATAAAAAGGTGAGGGAGGAGTTAAGGCCAGCATGAAGGATTCCCAGAGGAGGCACTGAGAAGGTGGGTTGCAGAAAGCATTTAATTTCTGCTCTTGCCCATCCCCTGCTTTTCCTCTGGACAACCATCCTCTGCTTCCTCAGCACAGAAATCAGTACTCACACAGCCCAAGCCGGATGCCCAACGTTGACAAGGTAATAACAGGCTACTGTGGAGCAGTACAGGGATATACCTAATAAGCATAGAGATTGATGAAAAATTAAGAAGCAATAATGTCTAGAACCCAATACCATTTATGTAAATTAAAAATTCATGAAAATAGCCCATGTGAGGCAAAACAAAATGATCAGAGATTTTAGCTGCCACCCACTGAAAGGAGACTGAGTTTTGAATTTGAGCCCAGTCAGGTTAATTGAGAACTAAACCAATGAAAAAAAAACCAAGATACTTTGGAGAATTTCACAATCCAGAGTCTCTATAACTGATCATACACAATGCATAGGACAAAATCCAAAGTTACGAGACATAGGAAGAAACAGGAAATGTAACGCACACTTGATCAATGGAGACCCACTCTAGGATGACCCAGATGTTGGATTTAGCATATAAGAATTTTAAAGCAGCTCTCTTAACTATTTTCAAGAATGTACAATAAAATAAACCCATAATGAATGAGTAAATAGCAATTCTCAGGGGAAAAAAAAGCATTTAAAATTGAAATTCTAGAATTAAAAGTGACATACCTGAATTTTTTCAAAAATCAGTAGATGGACTGAAAAGAAGATTGGAAATGACAGAAGAAAAATTCAGTGTACTTAAAGATATAGCAATAGAAATGACCCAATCTAAAGAATAAAGAGAAAATTAAAAAAAAAAAATGAATGGAGCCTCAGGGACCTCAGGAAAGATATCAGAAACTCTAACATACATGTACTTAGAGTCTCAAAAAGAGAGGAGGGAGCAAGTGGGACAGAAAAATATTTGGATAAATAACAGCTGAGAAAAAAAATTCCAAATTTATAGATTCACAAACCCTACAGAAGATGAAAACAAAGAAAAGCACACCTAAGCATGTCAGAGTTAACTGCAGAAAAAAATTTTAAGAAAAAAATTTTGAAATCAACCAGAAGAAAAGTAACACAACACTTAAGGGGGAGCAATGATAAAATGACAAGACTTAGCATCAGAAACAATGCAAGCCAAATGACAGGAATGACATCCATAAAACACTGAAGGCAAAACATCTCTAATCTGAAATTCATTACAGCAAAAATATTCTGGATTGAAGGCAAAATAAAGACGTTTCAATAAACAAAAAATAAATAAAATTATTCAGGATAACAGGAAATAACATCAAATTAAAACCTGGATCTTCAGGAAGAAGAAAGGGCAGAGGAAATGGTAAATATATGGGTTCCTACCATCGACTGACCCCAACTAGTATAAGCTAGAAGGGAAGGGAGTTGATTGATATAGTCTATATACAAGTTGACTTTATACATTGCAGAGCACACAGGCAACGCCTTAAGTCTTCCTGAGACTTTGACTTGAGACACAATGATGGGCGTAGGGGGCATAAAATTTAACATGACAAAAAGCGTGAAGATCCTTCTCCTTTGACTCAGATGCATTTGGATTTTTTTTTTTCCGGTTCCCAGCTGCATAGACAAATATTACAGAGGAAAGAGACAGAGGATAGCCACATGCCTCCAGTCAACTAGATTGGATTGGTAACCATCTATATTGCAGGCCACAACTACATTATCACTGAGATTTTTCTTGACCTATTTTCTTAAAGGTGTTAAATTGATCGCAAAAATAGCCCCAATTAATGGCTTTCTGGCATCCATACTTTTTGCAATACTACTTCACAAGAGGTGGAGTCTATTTTTCCCCAACCCTTGAATTCGAATTAGCTTTGTGACTTGCTTTTGCCAACAGGGTGCGGCAGAATTGTATGTATGCGTTATGGGTTGAATTGTATCCCCCCCAAAAAGATATGTTGCTCCCAGTACTTCAGAATGTGGCCTTACTTGTGAATAAGGTCTTTACAGAGGTCATCAAGCTAAAATGAGATCATTAGGGTGGGCCCTAATGCAATTTGATCAGTGTCCTTATAAAAAGAGGAAATTTGAAAACAGAGACGTGCACCAAGAAGATGGTCTACAAGCCAAAGAACACCTCAGGCTACCAGAAGCTGCGAGAGAGGGCTGGAACAGCTGCTTCCCTAGTGTCTTCAGAGAGAGTATGACCCTACCAACACCTCGGCTTCAGTCTTCTGGCCTCCATATCTGTGAAACAATATATTTCCCATTGTTCTAAGCCACCATTTTGTAGTACTTTATTGTGGCAGCCCTAGGAAACCTATCATACAGATGGCGTGATAGTTCTGAGCCTAAGCCTAAAAATGCCTTCACCACTCTCTCTCTCTCTCTCTCTCTCTGACTACTCTCCCTCACCATAAGAATATGCCTCGTGGAGTCTGAGAACAAGTCCAGACTAGCTTGCTAGATGAGAGATGAGCCTATGCCAGCTGACCACAGATATAGGAGTAAACCCAGCGAAGACCAGAAGAACTGCTCAGCCAACTATAGACACATGAACAATTATACACTCTTATGGTTTTAAGTGACCCTAATTTTGAGATGCTATGTTGAGATATTATTATTGTGATAAATAAATGATACAGAAAAATCATGCAAAACAAAAAAAATATCATGCAAGAAACACATAATATTAGAATGTTACCTATGGGGGCTTCCCTGGTGGCGCAGTGGTTGAGAGTCCGCCTGCCGATGCAGGGGACACGGTTCGTGCCTCGGTCCGGGAGGATCCCATGTGCCGCGGAGCGGCTGGGCCCATGAGCCATGGCCGCTGAGCCTGCGTGTCCGGAGCCTGTGCTCCACAATGGGAGAGGCCACAGCAGAGAGAGGCCTGCGTACCGCAAAAAAGAAAAAATAAAAAAGAATTACCTATGGAGGAAGGTGAATGGGAAATAGAGAAAAAAATGAAATAGATGAACAAAAGGGGCTTTTTGCAGAATAATGAGGGTAGTATGCAATGACTAATTACTTAATTCAACCCTATGCAACAACTGTAATATATTTAAAAAATTAAGAATGAGGTCTAAAAGCAACTATATATTGGGAAGGTATAGGGGTGGGACAAGAGCTGTGTTATGGGTTGAATTATGTACGCCTCAAATTCATATGTTGAAATCCTAAGCCCCAGTACCTCAGAATGTAATGGTATTTGGAAATGGGGTCACATGGTAGATGTAATTAGTTAAGATGAGGTCATTATGGTGAGCCCTAACCTAATATGACTGGTATTCTTATAAAAAGGGGAAATTTGAACATAGAGACATGAACCCAGGAAGACAACCATGTGAAGATGAACGCAGATTGTGGGGGTAGGGTGAGGGGGGCGAGGGTGGAGGGGATGCTTCTACAAGCCAAAGAAGCCCAAAGATTTCCAGAAAAGTACCAGAAGCTAGGAACAGATTCTTCTTTACAGCTTTCCAAAGGAACCAACCCTAGAGACACCTTGATTTCAGACTTCCAGCCTCCAAACTGTAGGACAATACGTTTCAATTGTTATTGTTTAAGCTACCAAGTTTGTGGTGCTATTTTGTTACAGCAGCCCTAGTAACTATGTCAAGGTGTGCTAAGGAGGAAATTACTCTTTTCTGACCCATAACTGGATTATGAATTCCCAGGGTTTGGACTGAATGTGAGTTGGTAGTTACCTTCCCCTTCTGTACTCAGAACTTGGTGATGTTTATTTTCCCAGACAATATCTCTCCAAATTAAGCATTTCTCATATTTTGAATTTTCATTGAGAAATATTCAAGACTTCCTCATCAAAATGGCAATATTTGGACTGGATCAAGACAAGCTTTATTTTGGGATTTTATCCATTTATCACAAATTCCTCTCCTGTGCCCACTTCAATAGTCAGGTTCATAACCCCCATATTCCATTGGTCACAAAGGAGCTAAAATTATTAAAAAGGCTTAATCTGAGGAACAGAAGGTAACAGCTAAAATTAGTGGTTATATGTATGATGGAGGTGACTGCAGAAACCTTTAAGTTGATAGTCAATATTTACTTTAGGTTATACTGTCCGCTGTTCCTAGGTCCTGGGTTTTCCTCCCCGTCAACACTCACCTCTGAGGAAATTCCAAGTTAGAGAGGTCCAAGAAATTTTTGTGTAGCTGCTTTTCTGCTGCCATCTGGTGCCTTTCCTCAGCCCCTCTCCCCATTATGTCATGGCAACCTGAAAATAAGTTGTTGCCTAAGTAACTATATACACATCATTCCCATACCTTCCATACTTTTCTCCTCTTCCTCCTCCAATGACATGCCAGTTTCTGAATCTTCATAATTCTGTTCTTCATCAGAGAACTCCATGGTTTCAGAATACAAAGAGTCCTCTTTGCTGTCATAGATAATGCACTCCGGGTCATCATAAGCATCCTCTTCCACGGGGGTGTCTGCATCTTCCGAGTACCCAACAGATTCTAGATAGTCCTCTTTTCCTAAGTGTAAAGAATCATCTGGCTCCTCATATCTCTGTTCATCCTGTAAATACTCAATAGTTGCTGGAAACTCACATTCAACATTCTCAACCAATTGCAGAGATGTGAATTTTGGTGTGCTGTATTCCTTCTCATTTTCCCTTGAGGACCAAGCAGTTTCCCGATAACCAGCCTTCTTGTCCGTGAAAGACTCAGAGGTTTCCAAATCCAAGTGTTCTTTCTCTTTGAAGGACATGGTGATCTCAGGATTCTCAGGCTCTTTCTCTCCAGGAATAAAAAATACCTTCCCTGCTTACCCCCACAGGTTGCGGTGGCTCTATATAATCATGTTTTAAAAGTTCTGGAAAGAATAGGAAAGGTTGGGGGATTTTTATTTTCTTTTTTGAAATTAACAGATGTTATATAATAAATTGACTTTCCATGACCTCAAAGCATCATCTCCTTTATTTCACTGTATAACAGGAATACCTACCACCTCCTACATAAACGGCAACGACTCAACTGTCAGAACTTCCTCCCACTGAAAAATATCAGATCACACTCCTGCCTTGCTCAAAAGTTCGAGTCTTTCACAGCAAACTCAAAGGGTAAATAAGTGAAATAGAAAACTTGAATCCTGTGTTTACTTGTGGATTTACTGTGACCCCAAACCAGCTCAGACTACATAAGGCCATTGCTAATGAAATCTGATCCTAATAATTTCTAATCAAGAAGCAAATAGCTCTGATTTGGAATAAGTCCTGGAAATAACAAGACCTATTTCTCTAAGCATACGGGTCCTGTACTACATTAGAGACCATAAACATTAATCTTTTTATCTGAGCCTCTGCCTCTCTAACATCTCTTAAAATAATCTTCACTATTTTTTAGAAAAGGAGTTACACCTGTCTCTGGTAGTAATTTACAAAACTGCTAAACAATTCATTCTGGAAGAAGTGCGCCCTCATTTGCCACTAATTATCTTTGAACATTGAAAAATTAGAATTTGATTTGCTCCAGAAAACTAAAGTTCTGCTGGCATTCTTCTCACAGAGGAAACGAAGTTGTGGACTTTCCTGGTGGTGCAGTGGTAAGAATCCGCCTGCTAACACAGGGGACACAGGTTTGATCCCTGGTCCGGGAAGATCCCACATGCTGCAGAGCAACTAAGTCCGTGCGCCACAACTACTGAGCCTGCGCTCTAGAGCCTGCGAGCCACAACTACTGAAGCCCGCACGTATAGAGCCTGTGCTCCTCAACAAGAGAAGCCACTGCAGTGAGAAGCCCATGCACCGCAATGAAGAATAACCCCCGCTCGACGCAACTAGAGAAAACCCATACGCAGCAACGAAGACCCAACGCAGCCAAAAATAAATTAAAAAAAAAAAATGAAGTTGCTAATCTACTACATATGTGTGTTAAAAATTATTTTTCCTATATTTTCAAAATGGCTATACTAAGTGAAAGATGCAGCTTTTGGTCTTGAGGTTGTTAATACCCATGAATTCACTTACTTCATAAGGAAATCCTGATGTGTCACTAACAGTAGTCTCTTTCCAACTATGAGTATTTCAGAATGTCACTGCCAGAATAATAAGTTTATACTACCACTAAAACAAGTGCAAGTTTTGGGGACATTCCCTGGTGGTGCAGCATGTAAGACTCCATGCTCCCAATGCAGGGGGCCCAGGTTTGATCCCTGGTCAGGGAACTAGATCCCACATTCATGCTGCACCTAAGAGTTAGCATGCCACAACTAAGACCCAGTACAACCAAATAAAATAAATAAATATTAAAAAAAAAATTGCAGCTTTTGGATTGAGTTTGAACAAAAAATTATAAATCCCCTAAAACAATAAGATACATCATTCCCTGCATTTTAAATCTTGGACACTTTTCCCTTTTATCATATTTCAGTGAAAATTATCTCCAGGAGAATGACAAATGAAAATAAAAGGTAAAAATTTTCTTTTTTTCAGGAAATCTGCCTCCTCCCTCTCAGCCCAAGAAAGTGTAGAAATTTAACTTACCGTGATTTAAGTGATTTAAGTCCCAAATGGTAGCTGACTCTGAAAAAGTACTAAGTAGGGCTTCCCTGGTGGCGCAGTGGTTGAGAATCTGCCTGCCAATGCAGGGGACACGGGTTCGAGCCCTGGTCTGGGAAGAGCCCGTGAGCCACAACTACTGAGCCTGCGCATCTGGAGCCTGTGCTCCGCAACAAGAGAGGCTGCGATAGTGAGAGGCCCGCACACCGCAATGAAGAGTGGCCCCCACTTGCCGCAACTAGAGAAAGCCCTCGCACAGAAACGAAGACCCAACACAGCCAAAAATAAATAAATAAATAAATATTAAAAAAAAAAAAAGTACTAAGTAAACAGTTGACAAAAAGCTGACCGCTCACTTCTCCCTTTTTCTGTACCAAAATTAATAGCTTCCAACTTTTCTTCATGGGATCTGTAATATTCTCCAGAATTTCATACTCTTCCTCAGAAATTAGCCTCTGAGAGGTTAATGTATCTAAGATACAATCAGGATCTTGTTGGAGGAGTTCAAGTAACTTTTTTCATTCTTTTTCTATGATTTCTGAGGGAACACTCCCAGTAGCCAATGTTCCTGTTCTCTGCAGAGCAGGAAATGAACTATGAAATAGTTCCAATGCATAAATACAAGTTTTGGGGGAGTTTTTTTGTTTTTGTTTTGTTTTTTTTAAGGCAAAGAGTAATTCTATTTGGCAAAGATTAACTATGTCAATGATGCCTAGTGTTGGACAGGGTGGACAGAAACAAGCCAAAGCGGAGGGGGAACCCAGTCCTCAGCCCCCACGGACCCTGGCTCCCTGTAGATTATCGTTTTTTGATGACTTGACTCAGTTTCATATGACTTAGCCCCTGAGAACTCCTCGGAGTCAACTCCTCTGAGAAGCCTCTCTTGAACTTCAGATTGGACTAGGTATTCTCTACTCTGGGCTCTATCTGCGATAATAAGAATGTGAATTGATTAACCGTTTTGGAGAGAAATAAGTCAATATGCAGCAATAAATAAATAAATGTGACAGATAAAAATCAAAATTCATACCATTCAGTGCAGCAATCCCACTGCACTGAATAGGAAATTATCTTATGGAAATGATCAGACAAATGCCCAAAGATGTATGTGCAAGAATCTGCATTACAACATTTTTATAATAGCAGAAAATTGAAAATAACTCAAATATCCACAAATTGGGGGTTTATGGAACAAATGTTGATACAGCGACAATGGTGTTACCTAATCAGGCCTGGCTGTTCACCACTCAAAAAATCAATACTTGAGGGACTTCCCTGGCTGCACAGTGGTTAAGAATCTGCCTGCCAATGCAGGAGACACAGGTTCGATCCCTGGTCCGGGAAGATACCACACGCCCGTGCGCCACAACTACTGAGCCTGTGCTCTAGAGCCCACAAGCCACAACTACTGAGCCCACATGCCACAACTGCTGAAGCCTGTGCGCCTAGATCCCATGCTCCACAACAAGAGAAGCCACCGCAATGAGAAGCCCGTGCACTGCAACGAAAAGTAGCCCCTGCTCACTGCAACTAGAGAAAGCCCGTGCGCAGCAATGAAGACCCAACACAGCCAAAAATAAATAAATAAATAAAGGTTAAAAAAAAATACGAGAGAGAGAGAGAGAGAGAGAGAGAAATGTTGTTAGCAAAGTTGCTTTTAATCAGAATGCTGGCAATCTGGGGAGATGGTGGACTCAGTGTCCCCAAAAACCACCTCTGAAACTTATGCTTGGCCATGAAAGTTTTTATAGGGAAAAAGGGAAGTAATTTCAGTTAATCATTGAGATAGGGGGTGGGAGTCGCCATCCCCCACTGTGTGCAGACTTGTATGCAGGCTTGTCAACTTCCTGTGATTTTTCTTTAGATGCTATCTTGTTCACACAGTTTGTTTGCAAGATTACTGAAGGGGAAGCTAGGGAAGAGATCTGGTCATCTGTTAATTACTTATTCTTCATTTCAACTTCTTTGATCTATAGAAAGAACCAACAGATTAGGCAACATATTGTGTGATCAAGATTTGAAAGGCATGCTAGGGCTGGAGATGAGTAGAGCATGGGGGTGCCTGGTTTCAGGTTAGTGACAAGGCAAAAGGGGCCTCCTGCAGAAAGGTCTTTCCTGCAAAAAGCTTTCTCCTGCCAAAAGCTGCTTACAAATCCCCACTTGTCAGAACATCATTCCATTTCTCCGGGATCATGGGCGAAGGTCTGTCTTCTGTAACTTCTTCATTCTGACAAAGGGCACCGTATTCTTAGAGTGGAAGATGCCAGCATGGGTTTGCAGCATCTCTTTGCTGACAATTTTAGTTGCCCACTTACATATGCAGGCAGAACAAGCTACAATTATTTTGATGCCCACCAAGATATAGATTATTATGAGCAATAGTGTTAATCCCATTCTCTTAAGGCCAGTTCTTGGAATTGTACTAGCCATAGATTCAGTACTGCTCAAGTTAGAGCAGCTTATGTCATGGCTACAATCTAGTCATCATGCAATTAGCTTTTCCCCTCTGGTGGCAGTTATAGTATCTGTAAAACAACTCAGGAATGTGCATCAGACACTGAGTCTGTGACTCTATTGTCCTAATCATTAATGGCTTGAGTTTGCTGTTTTGCGACTCAGGGAGGCCTGGGAGACTTCAGCTTTTCTATAAACAAGAGGCAGGAGACATGAAGGAGCCTTTGTGCTTGGGGTGGGGTGGGAGTGGGGTGCAGAGTTCTGCTCAGTTCCAATGCAATACCAAAATGAAGTTAAAAGTGATGAAGTAGGGATTTCCCTGGCGGTCCAGTGGTTAAGAGGTTAAGACTTTGCCTTCCAATGCAGGGGGTGCGAGTTTGATCCCTGGTCAGGGAGCTAAGACCCCACATGCCTCACGGCCAAAAACCCAAAACATAAAAGAGAAGCAGTATTTTAACAAATTCAAAAAAGACTTTAAATAGATAAATAAATAAAATAAAGTGCAAAAGCTACAAAACCATCTGCCCTCATCCCATATACCACAAAAAAAAAAGGATGACGTAAATCTACACATATTGACAAGTAGTGATATCCATGATATATTATGGAAAACGGCAAGTTATAGATCCCATTTTTATTTAAAAAGTTAATATGTGTATAGTGTATGTATACAATATGTGTATATACATATACATTATATTTAAAAGAAGACAGCCAGGAAAGAGATACTCCAATTGTAACACTGGTTATCTCTGGTGAAATGATTACAGTGGTATTAATACCTTCTACTTTAAATATTTCTATTTATTTTAATAGTTTACATTTTTTGTCTTGTTAGCTGACTTTAATTTTTTTTTAAACTAGTTGGTTTTTATTTTCAGTTATAGTTCACAAGAACCTGAAAACAATCTAAATAACTATCAACAGGACTGGATGAGTAAACTGTGGTATCTCATATAATGTAATATACAGCACTGAAAAAGAATGAACTTCAGTGACCCACAGTATACATAAATAAATCATAACAATATTAAGGGGAAATTTTAAGTCCCCAAATATTATATGTTGCATGACACCCTTTTTGAAAAGCTCAAAATAATGTAAATACAGACACATACACACACATTTTAGGAATACACATGGAATCGGTATAATTATATAAAATGAGAAGTACGGAAATGAACTTCAGAAGGATGGCTACCTTGGTTAGGGGAGGCTAGGGATGGGATGGGATTGGAGGACAGGGAAATCATGGAGTTAGACATAGGATATCATCTGGGAATGAGTTTATAGGTGTTTATTAAATTATTAAAGGTAAATAGTTAAACGTGTAAGTGAAAGCAGACCATGCATGGACCAATGCTGAGCATAACAAAGGAAAATGATTCATTAAATTCTGGTGTCCCTAAGGTTGAAAAAGAATATGAGAATCCATATATGACATTAAAAATTAACTTTAGGTTGAGAGTTTTAAAATGTGTCACAAAGGTATGGGTTTCAAGAGATGTATCCCACCTAATACTAACAATTTGATTGGCAATGTTAGTAGGTTTGCCAATCTTTTTTTTTAATTCAACTTGGTTGGTAAGGTATTCTAATAACCAGCTTCTCAAACCCCATCTCCTCCCCACTGCTCCCCCTAAATACCCTCCTCTCCCACAAGAACTTGCTCCAGGAGATCTCAAAGCTGATGGGAAGAAAAGTGTTTATTTGAAGTTGCATATTTCACAGTAAAATGTAAATTTAGGGGAGAAAGTTTAAATTCAGTTCCTTGGTAACAGGAAATCTGCATTGCACACACTTTGAATGCAAATGGAAGTGAACAGGAAGGGGGCAGGGCAAAACCTTTAAAAGAATGACATAGCCCGAGGACATGACATGAACAATTAGAACCAAATAGGTCCAAGATGGTAGACTGGACTAATTCCACTAGACCTTGAGTCTCAGTATATGCTCATTGTAACACAACTGCAAGCTAAATGACACACCCATAGGCGCCATGACAGTTCCAAGGCCAACCATAAAGGTCAAAAAGTAGGCCTGGGCTTCCCTGGTGGCACAGTGGTTAAGAATCTGCCTGCCAATGCAGAAGACACAGGTCTGAGTCCTGGTCCGGGAAGATTCACATGCCGCGGAGCAACTAACCCCGTGCGCCACAACTACTGAGCCTGCGCTCTAGAGCCCGTGAGCCACAACTACTCAGCGCGTGTGCTGCAACTACTGAAGCCCGCGCACCTAGAGCCTGTGCTCCACAAGAGAAGCCACCGCAGTGAGAAGCCTGCGCACCGCAACGAAGAGTAGCCCCCGCTCGCCGCAACTAGAGAAAGCCCGCACGCGGCAACCACCAAAGCAGCCAAAAATAAATACATACATTTATTAAAAAAACAGTAGGCCCAATTCCTAGAAATCCCCACCCCTTCCCCCAAATAGCTGGAATACTCCTCCTACTCATTAGCCTATGAAATTACCCACCCCTAAAAAACCTGACAACCCCATACCCTGGTGCCTTTCTCGCCTTCTGATATGGCTCACACTCTGTGGAGTGTGTTTCTCTCTAAATAAATCAACTTACCTATCACTTTGTCTCTCACTGGATTCTTTCTGTGATGAGACATCAAGAAAAAACCGTGGGTCTAAATCCTGAGACCAGGTGTGTGATCTCAGTTAAAACACCGCGGGTTCAAGTCCCAATCTGGGTTTTGGCTGGTTCGAGTCCCAATCTGAGTTACACGGTTTCAGAAGTGAGCTGGGGGAAGGGTGGCCAGGAGATGAAGATTTGAAAACACATCCCTCTGGGCTTCCCTGGTGGCGCAGTGGTTGAGAGTCCGCCTGCCGATGCAGGGGACACGGGCTCGTGCACCGGTCCGGGAAGATCCCACATGCCCTGGAGCGGCTGGGCCCGTGAGCCATGGCCGCTGAGCCTGCGCGTCTGGAGCCTGTGCTCCACAACGGGAGAGGCCACAACAGTGCGAGGCCCGCGTACCGCAAAAAATAAAAAATAAAAATAAAAAACAAAAAAAGAAAATATATCCCTCACATCAAATACAGTGAAACAGGTGTAAAAATTTTGTTTGCAGCTAGGAGTTTAAATTATGTGATTTTTTTTTTTAAAGATGAAAGTCAGCACTAATTTCATCTATTGTAGGAAAAGAAGGCAGGTCAAGTCAAGAGACCTGAACTATATCAGAATAACAGACGCAAGATTTATGAAGTCTCTATCACTCTCTGTCAAAAGGCAAAACACCGTAAGTAACAGCAGAGATTGCAACAGGGAAGACCCAATTTTGACTCCATGTTGGATCTGTTTCTTTGACTTTAGCATTTGCTTTTCGTAGCTTTTGTTATTATAATCATACATAATGGACTGCCTCAGGGAACCCTACCCACCTATGAATGGCTGCAAGAAAGAAGAAATTAACCATCCCCTCCCGGAGGCTGGTCATTCCAGAAGATGTTTATCCTTTTTACTTTACTTCCTCCCCTCATCTCCCTCTCTATTCTGCCTTTTTACTTTACTTCCCTCTCTGATTCTATGAAAGAAACTGGCATCCAGACCCCGCTAAGATGGTTTTTTGGGGACCCTAGTCCGCCATCTTTTCAGTCCGCCGGCTTTCCAAATAAAGTCGTATTCTTTGCCTCAACACCTTCTCTCCCAATTTATTGGCCTGCCGTGCGGCGAGCAGAGTGAGCTTGGACTCTGTAACAAGATCATCTGTTTCAGAAGTCATTCCTGCCGACCTAAACCTGGTATTTGGATAGAAATGATCTCGGCTTGTGGGATCTTCCTGGACCGGGGCACGAACCCGTGTTCCTTGCACCGGCAGGCGGACGCTCAACCACTGCGCCACCAGGGAAGCCCAACACTATAGTGTTTTGAATGAAGTACAGATGTCCCAAGCCCCATCCAAAGATGCTGAACCAGATTTCCTCACGTTAGAGTTTAGGAAACTATTTAACAAGTTCCACGTCTGATTCCTTGGCATAACAAGATTGGGGATCAAATCCTTTGCCTCTAAAGTACTATAGTTAGAAAAAACATTATTTGCCTTTCTCTTCATATTCTGAGCCCAGCTCCGTCCCCCTAGCGACTTCTCAGCGATGATCAGCGTCAGCCGAAAGCTTCCAGCGGGACTGCGGAAGAACCTGTCGAAGAACCCCAGTCCCAATCCGAACCCTACACAGACGCCCACCCCGGACCCAGAAAACTGTGAGCCCCGCCCCTCTGAACCTTCTATTGGCCCCGCCTGGCTCGGGATCCTCCTCTCGACTCCACCCACGCTGCAGCAACGGACGCTTGAGAGCGGTGCACCGCGTCCCGCCGGAAGTACTTTCCTGGGCGGAAGCTTCTGAGCGCGATATAGCGGAAGTGCCTGCAATTTTGCTCTCTTTGGTCTCGGCGGCAGAAGCGAGATGGTGAGTTGTTTGCAAGGGCTGTCGGAATCGGCTTCCATCCTAGCGCACTGCGCCGCGTTCCTTGCTATCCGTGGGGGCCCGGCAAGGTTTCCGATAAGGGGAGCCGGTGGGCAGGAAAGGGACATGCGGTGGCCCTCGAGAGGCAGAAGAATGGCCCCTACTTGTCTGGGAGTGCGGGGCCTGCAGTCGTGGAGCTGCAGCTGCTCTAGGCACCTTGCTTCTGTCTGACCTTTGGGGAACCCGCACAGCCCTGTCCGCCTATGGGAAAGGACAGAAGAAGCATAGTTTGAGAGTGGCTCTGTACGCCAAGGAATCGTTGGCGGTGGT